ATGTAAGCCTCCATCCTTCTTTGGAACAATGAAGTAATCGCTGTAAACCCCTAACTCCCTGCTGGGAGGAGGAATCCTTTCTATAGCCTCCTTTCGCAGAAGAGTCTGTACTTCTTGCTCCATAACCAGAGCCTGCTCGGGGTCCACCACCGTATGGAGGATCCCTAGAAATCTTGGCGGAAGAACCGTACTGAATTCTGTAACCCTTTCTATAGTATGCAGGTCCCAATGAGATATATTTGGCAGTAGCTTCCACGATGCCATAAAATATACTAAGGGTACCAGTCTCTCGAGACTGGCCTCTGGTATTGGTCGAACAGCCACTTCGGTGCCCTGTACGGTGAACCGGCAGGGAACAACCGAACAGACTGTTCTACGACCCACCTCGGAGGATCGTTGGGAAATGCAGGCACCTCTGCGCCTTGAAGCGGCGAACCGGCAGGGAACAACCGAAATGACTGCTTTACGACCCTCCTCGGAGGATCGTTCGGGAACGCTGACACCTCGGTGCCCTGAAGCAGCGATCCGGCAGGGAACAACCAAACTGGCAGCGCTGCGACCCTCCTCAGAAGAGTCTCTTCACAGAGGATGCCGAGGAGAAATGGGCACCTTATTTTGATGAGGTGGAAACCATTTCTCCCCGGAGGGGACTGTCCTCAGAAGTCTGACAGCCTCAGCATCAGGACTTCTTCTTTTTCAAAGCCTTCTTCGAGATAACGACTGTACTCAGATATGTCTTATCCCAAGACGACTGCGGCTGAGACTACTAAAGGAACCGGTCTCTTGTATAGCTTGAGAAGCCAATCCAGCGTCCTGAAACGGATGACCGGCAGGAAATAATCGAACTGACCCCTCTTAAACCCTCCTTCTGCGAGTCAGACACTGAGACTAGAACTCGCTGGAGGGCACCGAAGGGAGATGGGCACCAAATAATGAGGTGTTATCCATTACCTCAGAATTAAATGACTCCTCAAAGATTAGATGAGTACATATGTAATTTTCTCAATTAAATACAGCCAAATGTCAACCAGACAAGTAAACAAGGTCTGGATGAAAAAGCTGAATAGTATATTAAAACCCCTTAACTGTCACCCCCCTTTTTGAGCATTGACGTGAAAATGCACTACCCAAACTTAAACGGTTGTAATTCATAAACCCTTTGGACTAAAGACTTACGGTTGGTCTCTTTTAAAAGAAGACACTTGGCAGATTATTGCTGAAGTGGAATAAATTAATATAATTAAATTTTATAAAAGTTATTGAAGTTTAAGTTTATTGTTATGAAAATATAATAAAATATATATTTTTCTTTTATTAAAAATATATATAAATTAATATAGGTTTCAGCCTAAAAATTACAGAAAGTCAAAGCCATATATCTAACCAAGTTGTGTTCCAAATTTGAAGTTGATATCACAAACATTGAGGTGACATTGAATTCCATTGAATTTAATTGTGTGCATTCTGGCATTACATATTAATACATTTCTGTCCAAATATCACTTCTGTCACAAAATATGGAACCTTGAGACTCAGACCTTTCTGACAATATGTGTTTTGTCATGATTAGAAAAGGTTTTGATCATAAATTATGAAACATGATGATGCCCAAAAGGGGCGGAGCCTGATAAAATAATTTAGAGTACTGTTTCTATGGTAACACAACTATCAATTTCAAAACAGTTTTCACAGGATGAATTCTGAGTTCGTAAGCTTTCAAATGATACCTAATTTATGATAACTACTAAAATATGTGATGTAATAAAAAAGGTGATAAAAAATATTATATTATATTTTAGAGGATAATATATATAATATACTTTTTAGAGGATAATAATTAGAGGTGGGCATAGATTAATTTTTTTAATCTAGATTAATCTAGATTAATATTGAAATTAATCTAGATTAATCTAGATTAAAATGGCTCATTTGAATTCTCCCGAAGGCATTCAGAATATGTGTGCTACCCAAATAATGACTAAAAGTAAGTCTTTGAGAATAGTTTGCCTCGCGTAGGGATGTGCATTTCTGCCAAAAATGCCATTCGACAATCGAGGAGCAAAAGTCGAATATCGTTAAAAAAAAAAAAAACCCGCAATGACAGAAAGGGAGGCCAATTTCATCTTTGGCGATTTGTCATCAAACAAACTGTTTATTAATTGAACAAGTAACATGTTTTCGTCCTTTTTTTTAACACAGTAGACTAATTGGATGAAGAAAAAAACAATACGCACGACAGTCCGTTTTTGCATCGCCAATGCACGTTAGATCAAAAAATAATGTCATCATATGTCATAAGAATTTTATGTGAACTTGCCTTGTTACTGCAATAGCCTCATTTTTAAACAAATTAGTTTCAATCAATGTAAACTATTCGTGTGATTATGCCACTGCGCAATACACGCGCAATACACACACAATGTATTACCTGAATGAAATGAAATCGAATGTATCGTCCTGTGGAATCATTCATTCACAGACAGCTTACAAAGATGTTCAACTAATAAAGATCTTCATCGCTGGCAAAAATATGATGCATTTGCAGATTTGCATTCACTAGACTAGACTGTAGATCGGCCACTTCATCCAACGCTCTTGATGCTCTTAAATCTTCCTGTTTCGACTCCGAGTGTGAATTGAAAGCGCTTCAGACGATTCAGTGCGCGAGGAACTGAACAGATCAACTGATTCGCGAACCGATTTAGACAGATCATCTGACAACTTGTTTGATGAAGTCTTTGAACAGAATCGACTCAAAAGAGTGATTCATTTGTAAATGAGCATCGCTCATGCCCATACAAAGGACACAGCGCGCTTGGAATAAACTCATTTAACAACGTATTGCATTAAAATAAAGTAACAAGAGGAACGTCGCCCAACGTAACAAAGTAAAAGTACACCTTGTGTCCTTGACAGGAAAATACCCTACTGCGCGATCTGTGACAGTAGGCGCGGCGTCATACTACACATTAGAATTGCGCGAAAATATAACGATATTCGAAAAAGCTATTTATGATCCCAACCCAACTTTGATTAACGGCGATATTTTTTTTATTGCCCGATAAGAGTCTCACGTTAACGCAGCACGTTAACGCCGATAACGGCCCAGCACTAATAATAATATTTTATATTTTTTTATTGACAAATACAAGATTATATATGTTTTATTGTGAACTTTTAGCATGCAAATCAAAGTTTGAATGATTAAAAGTGTGGTTGTTGACTTTTTGTTACAAAGGTGAAAACTCCTGTAATGATACAGATTTTTTTTATGCGCACTCTTGTCATATATTAATCCATTACTCTTCCAACATATATTTTTTCTGAAAAATCATCAACAAATATGTATTCTCGAGTCTTAGACCTTTCCAACGATATATAGTTTGCCAAGATTAGATTAGGATTTAGTAGAAAAATATTGAAGTAAACTTAAATATCCCGCTAGCGGGAGGGTGACAGTTAATACAGACATTTATCTCCAGGAAGATCAGATGAGTACATATTTAATTTTCTCAAAAATTAAATGCAGCCAAATATCAACCAGACAAGTAGAAACGGTCTAGGTGAAAAGTTGAATATTATGTTATTAATATAGACTCCATATTATAATCTCAAACAATAAAGAATACATAATTAGTTTGCACACAACCATAAGAGAACGAGATAAAGGGAATTTCCCGTCTGCTCAGTTCCCTGCACATATTATACATTGATTATTATTGCAGATATGCAGACCCATAATCTACGCACTGCCTCGGCAAACGCGCGATCTGAGCCAATAGATTCTTATTGTAGAGATGCAGACCCAAAATCTATGCGCTGCCTTGGTAAACACGAGATCTGAGCCACTAGATTCTTATTGCAAACCCGTAATCTAAGCGCTGCCTCAGCAAACGCGAGATCCGAGCTACTAGACTCTTATGCAGCCCCGTAATCTAGGCGCTGCCTCGGCACACGCGAGATCCAAGATCGAGGAACAGAATCTTTATTGTAGACCCGTAATCTACGCGCTGCCTCGGCAAATGCGAGATCCGAGCCAAAGATCTTTATTGACCTTCTTCCCTCGAGAAGAAAGCCAACAGGAGCAGAGCTAAAACTCTCGATAGTACATATGTTACACGTGGGGAATTTATGAATGAACACTGTCAGCCCCCTTTTACTAGAGCCGAGTCGATGACGTCACCCGCCTATGACGTCTCGTCTCTCCATTGGACTGATTATACACGTGCTTCACGACGCAATCACGCAGGGGCATTCCCACAGCGTCTCGACGCAGCTCGAGTTCCCTTGTAAGGGAACTGATATTACAGTATACCATAGTTTACCATAAATGCTTTTCAGTACACTCAGCAGTAAACTTTAACCATATTTGAACCAAGACAGTATAAGTAATTATTAAATTACATATAAAGATGTAATGAAGTCCTAATTTAGTGGGTCCAAAAAGACCTCTTAAGACCAAAAGTGCCCACAGTAAAATACTCAAGTATATATATAAATAAATATTTGTTCACTTTGACCATTAGAATTTGACCAAAAGTAGTATTTTTGTTCAAATTCTAATGCAGCATTGTATCCACTGTGAAGAGTTCAATCCCACATTGCATTGCACCAAGCTCTTTGGATTGAATAAATCCATGATGGTAGGCAAAGTGAACAAATGTTGATTTATATATATACTTGAGAATTTCTTCTACCGTGGGCACTTTTGGTCTTAAGAGGGCTTTTTTGACCAAAAGTATGTATTTTTGGTCAAATTCTAATGCAGCATTGTATCCACTGTGAAGAGTTCTAATTATTCATTCCTTTTGGAGTCCTGCCTTTTCAAATCAAGAACACACCTCCTTTCAAATATTTATGGAGGCAGCTCACTACAGGGTTTTCTTTTTAAAAGTGACTGTATTTTCTTCACAAGATCAGCACATAAAAAAAACTTTAATTTAACTGATGGCTTGTGGCATGACAGCAAAACGAACTGAAACAGTGGAGGCATTTCTCACCATTACTCCTTTTCGTATCTTCCTTTGTGAGTTTCTGCTGCGCTGTGGCTTTTTGCACACTCAAGCCCTTTCCCGAGACCTCCTTCACCGATTCGCTGCTGATGACGGAACCGTCCTCACTCGGCAACCTACTGCAAGTAACCATAGCAACAAGGAGCAGCGGTGAGTCTTTGCATGTGTAAAATCTCATTTTCTTTGTCTGCATCATCATTTCATACACATACATAAATGCAACGACACATTATCAAACAGACACACACACATACTTATTGCCACCTTGGAATTATAAGTTTCTATCTGCATTCTGAGCGGTTTTGAGATATGCAGCTTCAAAGTTTTTGCATTCCATTCGACTTTGAAGATAGAACCTTTTTGTTTTCTAAATAAAAAGTCCCAAAATGTACACAACTAAAAAAAAAACACACAAAATGTACATAAGTTATCACAGAATAACTCAATTTTGAGAAAAGTGTCAGATAGAACCTTAATAATTCCAAGGTGACATTATATCAAAAACTAGAGCTAAAAGAACACAGTTTAGTAGCTGTGCTAAAGCTCGAACTATATGAATCGTATAGTGTTAATGTGTTTTGATTTTGAAGATTGATTTTGAAGATTCCACTCAGATTTCTTAATATCTAATATATTTAGTTTTTATATTTTAGAATTATAAAAAATTACAAATAATTACATATTGCATGCTGCAATATATTAAGGAAATGCTATAGTACTAGAAAAGCCTAATTTTACAGGCAGTTGATGTATGTATGTATTTAGTGAAAATGGAGAAAGGTTGTTGAGGGGTCAGACTTCAACTTACAGACTATTAATGTGCACATAGCTGTGTGGTCAGTACAGACATTTTGAATAAAATAATCTTATTGCTGTGAGTATATGCTTATCCTATTTTGTGTTGGTTTTATAGGGATCTCAGAATCAGACAAAAATGTTCTTGTTCATGCTTCCCTCACTCTCTGTCCTCTTAATTAACTTTGTGATGATTGAGTTTTTCCAAAAAAGCCTGACTATTGAAATTGGAGAAATAGCTACTATAGTGTGTCCTTTAGAGACACTCATGTCAAAAGTTTGGAATAATTAAGATTTTTTTTAAATGTTTTTGAAAGAAGTCTCTTATGCTCACCAAGGTTACATTTATTTGATCAAAACACAATCATTAATAATAACAGAGAGCAAGAACAAAACACATATACCATAACATTTAAGTAAGACAAAGAACTAAGAAACCAGAAGGCTTAAATACATAGAGGATAGTCATAAACAGAAACAGGGTTAAGGCGTGTGACTAATCAGAAATAAATGAATGGCAACAAATGAATGAACAAGAACACAGACAAATACTGTGAAAACGAAAACCATGACTAGAAACTAAACAGAACAAGATAATGAAACTAAACATGACCATACATGTGACATTGCAGATGGTCAGTGGGTCAAGGTGCAGCTGGAGACTCAGAAAGTCTGAGGCAGAGCCAGAGCAACGATTGACCAAGGTGGAACCAGAGGGATGACAGACCATGGTGGATCCGGCACAGAATAAGCGGTGGGCTCTGGCGTGTCATCCATGGCAAGCGTGGCAAGCAGGGTGGGGCACGGTGGCGAGAGTTTTAATAAACGACACCTGCTCGCCACACCAGTCTCGAGTCGCACAAAGGAGGTCCAGAAGGATTAAATTATTGACAACAGTGAAGGACGAGAAAAGGCCAGGCCTGGGACATTTATGCTGTTGTTTTGTTATGTTTATATATGGCAGTCGTCCGTGAGGGGCTGCCACTTAACTTTTGTTTTGTTGTTTATTTATTTTGTGATTAAACTTTTTATTTACCGTTTGTCAGTTCCCGTCTCCTCCTTCCCTGAACACAAACCTTGTTACCAGGGGCGGAGTGGGACCAAAAAATCTACCGGGAAATTTCGTAGACCACCGGCCCTCGTCGCCGGCAGGGCCGGATTAAGAGCCCCCTGGGCACAATGTCTTGTAGGTCCCCTCTTAGGCAGGCCAAATGTATATTTTGTCCAGGGACATTTTAATACGGCATTTACAGTTTTACTGATTTAAAAGTAACTTTGTTGTACTATGCTGGAGTAAAGTTCATAAATGGTCGTTCTTTCCCATAGGAATTTTTAAAACTATGTTGGGTGGACCTCTGTGCCTCTAGGGGGGTTCGGGGGCATGCTCCCCCGCAAGAATTTTTTTTTACATTTTAAGGTTAAATGCATCAATCTCGTGCTCTTTGAGAGATCAAAATTAAGAGCTTCAACCCATGAACTGCTCGTTGAACAAAGAAAAAGCATTGATTTGTACCAGGACAATAAAGAGGGCATCTTTTTAGTTATGAGAGTCTCAGTCTGCATTACATTATCAATGATGTTTTAGGATGCCAAACAATTATTATTATAATGTAATAATGATTTATATAATTATTCCTATGACGTAAAATCCATTTAGCCTATAAATGTACTATATAAATGAAAATGAATATTTCAAAAGTATATTTTAGCCTACATTGCACTATAATATAGGACAATTAAAATATTTTTGTCCTAATTTCTTCATTTGCAAGAAATAAACCCTTGAGCTTTTAGGAGAAAACACCAGATAACCATGCTGATCGCGTGAGCAAAGTAATCACCCAGCACAGACAGGATGCCTATTCTTAAAGTCTTGTGCTGTTTTATAAAGACACAAAGCCATATCATGGTTTCAATTTTAGTTCGTTGGCAAAATATAACGCTAGAGACCTTAATGTTAGGTTATACATTTTACATCTTTACATATGTGTTGGGAAAAGGGAGAAGAGAGAGTTCGGCAAAAGGCGGATTCGAACTCGGGTCGAGCGCATCAAAAGCTGCTTTCAAGCACTTCACGCCCTACGACCTACGCCACTGTAGCTGTTTCGTAACGAGTGTCTTTTTGCTTTAAAGACAGGCACTTAGTGCAAATATACGCTCTGTTATAGAAAATGTTAAAAAAAAAATGTTTTCTTCCCCTCGCTTGGGCCCCAAGTGCGCATGGCGAATTTGCAATGAATATATTTTATCAGACCGGCCCTCGCGGCCTCGAAACAATACCGGCCCACCGGGAAAACTCCCGACTCTCCCGATTGCCACTCCGCTACTGCTTGTTACATTGGTGCTGAATCCTGGGAGCAAGGAAGAAGGCGCTGTCAAAGCCCTCGCCGCTGTGGAAAATCCGCGGTGACATTGAGCAGTGCTGAGCAGAGTCTGCCACAAGGATGCTTGAGTGACTGGAGTGACTGTGCGAGAGGGGACGGAGAAATCACCACCGAACTGAATCGCATTGCCGAGTCTGATGGTCCGAATGAGCCAGCGATACAGGCTGGGGAGCGCTTGCCAGGCCCCCAAGACCGTACAAGCCGGACCAGAGGGACCACAGCTGTACCCGCAGTGGGGCAGCAAAGTGGGGTGCAGGGACCTCACTTGGAAGGCATAGCGTCCCAAAGTGGGGTCATACCGCTGTGGGTCATACCACCCACACGCTGTGGCCTAGGTGGAAGCTGCTGCTGAGGCTGACCAGGACTAGGCTTGGCACACTTGCAGGAGAGCCATGGCGTGCAGGACGGAGGCAGCCTGTCCACGGAGACTGACTAGTGAGTTAGTCCCCACTATGATCCTCAGGTCATCCTGGCTATTCACCGAAGTAGCCCTCTTCCTTTCAGAAGAGGAGTTAGATCGGGGTATAGGCAAGGGGACTACTCGAGTCTCGACTGCAACACCGTGAGGGTCATCTTCCCGCAGTGGGCACATGATTCATCCATGAAAGCTACCTCAGCGTGATTGATGCCCAGACATGTGAGGCAACGACCGTGACTGTCAGCCGGTGCCAGGTAACGATCGCATCCAGAAACACATGGGTGGAATGACATCTTTAAAAAGACGCAGTGTCACACCCATGTTTGCTCTTTCAGGGAAATGTAGCTCTCTTATAGTGCTGAAGCGCAAAGGGGAAATAGCTGCAGCACAGCTGACAGGGAATATTGCAGCCTGCAGTGCACAGAGCTCTTTTATGGCTGTTATAAACAGCAGGAAATGCTCTAAAGATTGCGACAACCACTGCAGCGCCGTCACACCGACACCGGATAGCAGAGGCCTCTTTGCGAAGAGCACTCGCAGACACTCGTAGTCTTCACTCTTGCGTGACAGGATAGGGCAGGAACAGAAGAACTGCTCAGCTCCGAAGCAAAAAGCTGAATGTGCGTTGCATCTGCTTCCGTATTTATACCCGCGCTGCGGGGCGGAGCACGAGATGCTTGAGATTCTTATCATATAATGAATATTAATGTGAAAAAAATCATTCAAACTTTAAGGCGAGACACGGCAGGCAAAAACATAGATTTTTCATGCAGTGATCAGTTTTGAGATTTTGGGCTAGTTTACTCCTTCAATATGTGTTCTTTCAAGCTGCTATAAAGAAAACGTTGAAAATATACATTAAGATGTTTATTTTATTACATTTTGTTTACTTGCGGCAGTAAATTTCTCCCGAATTTACCAAGAAGTTATAGCATTCCAACACATCATGCCGCGGTCCGTCTGTTTACTGAAGTCAGTCCGGTATGGTTGTAAAGCTCTGAGTCTCCTGCACAACGCTATGTATCCAAATATGGGCATTTCCTTTCTATCAGTAACCAATCGTGAATGTCCAAAGGGTGATTTAAAGCTAAATGACGAAATCTCATTGGCTACTGCTGGTTTCTGCTAACGTGATTCGCTCAGACGCATCACGTGGTGTACTCTGCCTTATATATGCCTGCCATGTTATTAAATAATCAGTTTTCCTGAGCTTGAAATATTATATATTATTATTACTAAGGGCATGAGCATTTAGTCTGTTTTTGAGCAATTTTTTTCCAATAGAAATGTATTAAATTCCCTTCTTAAATCTTTAAATGCCTTTTTCTCAAAATGAGTTTTTTGTCATTCTCCAGTACAAACATCTCAGCCTATGTAGCACCTATGTACACCAAACTTTCCAGTTATACACTTAGCAGTATTCTGAAGATATTTTCAGAGGGATTTGTTAAATCATTCCTGGCCTGATTTATGTGACATTTTAATTAAAAAAAATATGGCGAAAAACGATTTTTTAAGGCTA